CTGAACCACTCTATGCCATAGGTGTTCGGCGCGCTGATCGGCCACCCACCCCACAACCCTCCCACCCCCCAAAACCATGTAAACTGCAGTATTTTTCATTTGAAACAGGTTTTAATATTTGGTATATGCTTTTAATTCAATAACCTTCATTTCCCACAAAAAATAAAAAATTGATTAATATATACATATTTAGTAAAGGTATGCAACTCGCTGCATTTTTCAGCACTCATCTTAATAATGATTGAACTTCATAACCCCAACGTTTTTTTAACCAATTTTCAATATTATGGTTCTGAAAGATTGGAGGGTCGCAAAGTGGGCGAGGGTCCCCCGGGGGCAGCCACCAACCAACGCGCCGAAAACATATGCCCAATACAATAGTGACCATCAAGATCGTGAGACCTGCATGACTCTGAGAGCAGATATTTCCAATTGCACTCCATGGGTTTGAATCCTTCCAATTCAATCAACATGTTTAATAATGTTACATTAATCAGGTTTCCATTTGTTTTTAAATCGCATGATGTAAACTATTACACACCATGCGGTAAAGAAAACTAGCAACAATTCAATGCATCATATCGTCGACAAGGCAGAACACTGGTATTACATTTTAGTATGCTTAGCACCTATTGTCATTAGAATAGCATGCAATATTAACGTGTTAGAAATTGTCCTAAGTTTTTACCCCACAATTGTACATAGGTTGCCACAATTTGTACATAGGTTCGAGCTATATTTTTCAATTTGCAGCATTTCACACCACCCATCCTGGTCAGTCCTGGACTGTCTTTCTTACAACTACATGTGAAGCGCTTATTCAAAATAGGTACTTATACTAATATACTTAACTGAGCTGTAAATAGATTTGAAACAATTAATAATAGATTTCATGGAATATTTACTAATAAAATGTCTTCATTGGCCAAAAACATACTAAATTCCCAAACTTCAAGAATAATGGTTTAAGCTTTTTGTTAGACATAAATTCTACTGCCAGTGTTATAAGCAATTTCACAAAATATTCTTTCACTGGTCAGTTTGCAGCATCCAGCTATACTGTCAGTTAAAAGTTGTTTGATTCTGTATTGGTTATTAGTCAATTCAACCAATTAATAGACTTAAATAAACATCGATTATAATAATACTAATGTATTTACATTTTATTTTAATTGTAAGCCGCATTCATTAATCTATCTGCAATACAGAAAGCATTTGCTGATTATCAGCCAAGATATTTTTGATTATCAAATTAAGTAGCTGCTGGAAAAAAATAGCTTAAGAATATGGTAATTTAAGATTTTGAACAAAGTGAAACCTTAGAACATTGCCAAAGTATTTGCATAATTTTATTTAAACATTGTAAAGTTAGTGTTTTATGTGCCTTATTATGTTTATTGTTAATAAAATAATCCAGACAGAAAACGACAAAGTTTATTACCATGAAGATAAAAGGCAATCATTTTAAGAACAAAAATTATATAAATATGGTATGGACTCTGAAGTGCATAATAATTTATTACAAAATTATGAAAATATTTGTACATTAAATGATTTAATTGACACTAATCAAATAGAATGTAAACAGTATTAAACAGTATGTAATAGATATTTTTGACATAATGCATAGTGCCCATCCAAGGCTATAATTATAATGAGTGAACAGGTGAAAGTCAAATAAGTTTACATCTTGCAATAATTCCTTTCAATTTTATAAAGTACTTTCCATTTATGAACGATAAGTTAATGCAATTGGAAATTACCCAAAATGTTCAATTTATATAAGTTTGGGACAGTCTTTTTAAATTTTAGGCATATTTATATTTTATCATAAACATTTTAAAATATTAGCTGTAGGTCAATAACATTTTTTCAGTCAATTATTTGAAACATAAAGTCAATTCAGCATAACTTGACCATGACAAAATAGGCACAATGTCATTTTAATATCATAACCATGTTATTTTGAAATTAATAGGGTGTACTTTTTCACAATGAAATATTGTTTCAACACCGAAATTAAAGTAAGACGATTTATATTAACATTTTAAATGTCAAACGTCATACCCTATATGAGTTTACATAAAAATTGGTCTTGCAATTCAACCAAAGTTGGGTATTATACTAAAGCCAAGAGAAAATTGTCTTGAATGATTTTTCTTTGAAATAAAAGTTAAACATTGAATGCATGATTTTGTGTAAATATTATCAACAGTGTTTAACACTAAAATTTAAGAAGCGTGTTCACTTTTATTACTAGTTTAGGGGAATGAGTAGGTCTATCATATAGCATAAGATTATAAGAAAACCTAAAGAAATGGAAAACTTTTAACCTCTAAATTAAAGTTTTAAGTTTAATTATGTGTAGATCTATGGTCAAACTATATGAAAAAAATAAAAAATAAATGATATACTTTCAAATTTAAATTTTTATATTTGGATGGTGTTCACTATGTCTAAATCATTAAAAGAGGTTCATAATAATTTAATAAATAAGCTATTCATTTATTATATTAAAATATTTATCTTTTTAGGTTGTGTAAAGTAAATAAAAGGTACAATGGAAAATAAATTTTACAAGTGAACTACAACTTGTCAACTTAAAATTGCAATAAATTGTGTGACAAATATAATTTGTTATAAATCTGCACTATAATGTAGCCTACACCATGAATTATAAACAACAATTACAACATAGTCAAACAAAGACAAATATTTAAAATTATTATTAGAGCTCTATTATTAATTTATTATTATTAATAATTTATTATTATTTTTATTATAATTATGAATTCATGATTGTCTTACTATTATCATTAGATCACATCATCATTATTATTACTATTATCAATTCATTATTATTTTTATTAATTTATTATTATTATCATCATCATTAATAATTTTTAATAATAATTCATTATTATTACTATTAATTTATTGTTATTATTTTATTTTTATATAATGTTTATTAATTTACTATAATTATTATTATCTAATATCTTAATCATGTGACTGATGTTGCACTGAAGTCTGTATCTTTTAATTATTGGTGCATTATTAATTTATCAATTTCTAATTAATATGATTTTAACCCCTACTTATCCAACATAATTTGCTAATTATGCATACTTAATTTTACCATAAAAACAACAGGCCCTTAAATAAGGCAATGTATTCACATCTATGATAACAAATACTGAAATATAACTGAATAATTATTTTGTTCAACATGTAGATCTAAACCTAGGTTCCACATTGTAAAATAATGTATAAAATAAACATTTAAACAGGAAATACCTCACCTAATACTGTAAGGAACTAAACTACTAGCTCTACTAACATCAGTCACCAATTTATCTCATACAACAATTCATCAAATGTCAGGAGTCATCACAAGACGCTGCTAATCACCATCGCATTTATTTCCACATTTCCCATACAGGCCAGTAGTGTTTCTTCCAATCTCGTCCAGCAAAAAGAAAATTATAGATCTATTTTGAAGATTTAAAAGCAAATAAAATATATTTTAAAACTGATTAATAATAACTGATTTAGAATCTATTATGAACGTGTTAGACTTATAGACACATTTTTTCCCGAATTCAGGACAATTGGCACAAGTTAACAAAAATTCCTTGATTCCACCATTCTTAACGCCATTGAAAATAGCAAAGTGCACCTAGCTAGATGAACCCTCCATCATTACAATCATCATCGTTACCACACAGCGAATGATTTATCATTATAGCGAGATACAGACATAGCTAAATGAATAGCCGCGGGTGAGAGTAGATCCATGGATCGTCATTATAAAATTGTCAATTTACGATACTGTACAGTAAAGCTAGACAAAGTACAACCTTATGTTCATTTCACAAAACAATGCATATAAATAATTTAAAATTAAACTGTTCTCGACAACAATCTTTTGAAGATCTAAATCTGAATTGACTAAGAAAACTTCTCTGTCCATATAATATCCTTCTTGATTCAGTGTTCCATGTAGATCTCTAGGCCTAAAAGGCATGTTCCCACCAAAGACATCAAGAACAAATCCGCTTCAATCGTGGAAAATCTCAACAAAATTGCTGCTTATAGGACACACAGAAAATCACTGACGTCTTATCGATTCATATTTAAAAGATACAGTTACTACTATCGATTGTTGTTTTGATCAGCGATTTTTTTCATTTTTTTTCAACAATTCATTTCTTCCTTGTTACAATATTCGGCGCCAGCGTTAAAAGGATATGACGTAGATACAGTACCTACGTCATAACCAGGGCAGGGTATAAGTTGTTCCCCAAATAACAGAGACTATTCTATAGAAATAGTCATCATTATGAACCGGACACGAATCATATACTTTTCTGAGCTACACTCACATATACCATAGTATATAAACAAGTCTGATTCTGTTTTCGCAAGAAAGGTTCACAAATAATTAGGCTCCCCCCATGACATGGTACACTGTGTATACAGTGGTAGCACTGTATACCCGTCCTAATTAATGACAATCCTAGAATTACACTGACTCTGCAAATACATCATCGAATTTTCGTGACAATTAGTTTACTTTCTTTTTTGTTGATTATTTGGGATATTATTATTGTAATTGCCATCATATTTATTTATTTATTTATTTTTTATTGTATGTAGGTATTGTATGAAAAGAAAAAAATATAAGAACTGAAAATATAAATGAAAATGCTTTTTTATTGTTGCTTTAAAATGCTTTGTAAACTATGTAAGCGAGGGAGAAAACATAACAGCCGCATATACAAGTAGTCCCTAACCAGTGTTTATAGGCAGTTTAACACCGGTTTATTCTTCTTTGTCTGTATTGACAAAATCACGATGAGTGTTAGATTTTTTTATGATTCATTTTTTGTCGTTGTTTATTTTTTTCTATTATCTCCTGAGAGAATTAAAAATCGCGCATGTCTCCCCTGTTCTTCCGTATAAAATGTTACACTCTTATCATGGTTAAATTTGACAGTCTTATAACTACATGAATAAAAGTTAATGGGAATAAAATTAATCGAAATGGATATTTCTGGAAGGAGTCTTTTTCTTGTAGTAAGTTTTCCAACGATGAATGCAACGGTTATTTAAGATAGGTATATATACAAATCAACTACATAAACAGTGTGTTATGAATGCAATTTGTAGTTAAAAATGTAAACAATATAATCATTGACCAGGCTTAGCATTAAGAAATAATGCATTTTCTCGATGGCGATAGAACATATAGATCATTTCACTTACTTATTCTGTGATAAAATGTTTTGCTTTTCATGACAAAATAGCTACATGTATTAAAAAGTATCATGCTAATCTCATGGATTTATATATACAGGCATGTTTCATAGGACAGATGATATCGTGTAATGGATATTCTCCTCGCCAGCACTTTATTTATCCTTCTACATGCGCTCCTCCAAACACATATTATCTCGATCCGTCTTGTAAGTTTTGAAATTTACGTTATTTAACGGTCTTTGCCGTATAATTCACATAATCTAATTTGTCTTGTCGCATGGCATGGTGCCATTAGCGCAAACAGACGACACCAAGAAAGTGATATAAATTAGCCAATGTAATTTTAGGCTTCATCAAATAGGATTCTCTAGTTTTCATTTCGTTCGCGGGTGAATATCCGAAATAAATCATATCTAACACAACATTTGTTCATATTAGGGACTTTTCTCAAAAATATTTAAAAAAGCTACATATTATTATCTAGGAGAGTGATATAAAAATCAGCTTAATCGCGTTTCATTCGGTCTATTTTTTATCCTTAAATTCCATATATAAAAAGTTCAATTTGCCAAAAGTTAGCTGCATAACGGTTGTTTCTATTCAGTACCACCTACCACTCCAATTCCACCTTTTCCTTATTTACCGGACGTTTACCAGTTGAGCATAGAAGCAAATATCTTGGGCAAGCGACTCACGTGGAATATGGAAGAGTATGGGGACAACCACAACAATATCTCATCTTTACGCGTTACTACAAACAATATCATCAAACACATACTTTACGACTATGCACGAGGCTGGATTGTGTACGGCACTGGTATGTTTAAGATCATTTAATTGTATGATAGTTTTTGAAAATGTGTCAGAGTTAAGGGGAGCGGTGGTCTAGTGGTTAAGGTGTCTGCCTCTCAACTCGGGGATTATTGGTTCGAGCCCTACTCGGGTCACGACCATGTTTCTTTATGACACATGTACTGGTAGGTTCCAGGAAGCGGACTCGAAAGTGATTAAAATAAGTTGCAAGAACTTGTTTCGCAATCGAGCTTAAATAAAATATGTTTAAACCAAATGTGTCAGAGTTAAATCGTATACATATACATGCACAGTGCGTTAACTGGAATGCAGGTATTAATTACCCGCACTCTAAAGCATGCCCACTGATTGACTCATTTTTGCTGGGGTTTACTTATTGTGACGACAGCGATTGAAATATCATATTCAGATGCTCGTTCATTTGTTACTTTTTCCCCGGGGTTTCATATTGTGACAGCAGGAAACGTGTTTTTATGTTTGACTATGACAAAAGAGAAAGAACATCAAAACAAGAGGCAATCTGATTAATACTCGGGGGCCACGTCCCCCTCGTACAAATCAGATAACCTCGTGTTTCGATGCTCTTTCTATTGTTTCATTGCATATATATGAAAAGTGTATATAGCTGTACACAATCTTATCGTCTCATGGCGTGATAAATCTACGGAAAATAACGAAACCATCATCGCTGCCAGAGCCTTAATGTATTACATGCACATGTGAATACAGGGTATTTACCTAGCGCAGAATTATTATGCTCCCCGAAGGGTGACCATATAGTCGCCGCTTTGTCCGTCCGTCTATCCGTCCGTCCGTCCGTCCGTCCGTTATTCTTGTCCGGGACACAATTTTGAATCAACAAGAAGTATTAACATGAAACTTTGTAGGTAGATAGATTTCATTGAGTAGGTGTGCAGTGCACAAGAACAGTAACTCTGCCTTGCCTATTTTTTATTATTGCCCTTTATTCATTTTTAACCTTTAAACTTTGTCTGGGACATAACTCTTAAATTATACGAGATATCAACATGAAACTTTATAGGTAGATAGATCTCATTGAATAGAAAGTGCAGTGCAAAGAACCATAACTCTGTATTGCCTAATTTTGGAGTGATTGCCCTTTGTTAAATGTTTATAATTTTCTGTGTCCAAAACCTGCTCGGGGAGAATCACCCGGTTCAACCGGTTCTTGTTATTTATTTGTTATTGTTCAACCATCTCCCTGATTAGTGCAGTTGCGTTATATCGCTAGACAATGTGAGTATATGGGGGTGGGAGGATGAGGGCAGAATGTAGAAACTAGAAGCTTTTTTGACTACTCGCTTGGGTGTACTTTTAAGCTCAGAAGAAAACGATTCCTTAACTTTTAAATTAATCAGGAAAAAAAGCCTTACATCGGTCTTTTAATAAATTACATTGTGCTTTGATTCTGGATAAGAATAACAAGTCACACCCATGTTTTTCTTGTTGTAAGCAGACGACAATTGCCATGCCACTCGTTTGAATGCAGACGGAAATGGACATATACCTTTGCAAATCTATGACTTTCTCGGAATGCCTTTTTTATATTCTACGCGCTCGATGTACCAATTACTCAAATCAAATGGATTGGTAAGCCGAACATATAGCTTTTGTTTTCTCGCCATGCCAATCGGCAATTGTAGTTCATTTGTCAATTCTCATATCGAGGCAACACGATTTTCAGCATAGCGGCAAAGAGGAGCCTAAACACGATATTTTAACTTTATGGTAAGATATATTATGCTCAAATTTGAAAATAGAACTTATTAGTTATTGCTACACATCTCTTTTTTAAAAATCAAATAAACATGTTTTGACTTCACACAAAGGAAATACGTTATGTTTTAGGTGGTCACAATATGAATATATAATGTCATTAAAAAACCAGCAGATTTTTTTAAAGAAAAGACCAACGTTACTTGAGAACGCAGCTTACAACACAGAGCTTATTCATTCTTTTATTCAAATTAGACATATTCAGTAATAATTTCATAAATTTCAATAAATTTATATGATTAAAATGTTTTACTCAAGACTTAGAATAGTATACTTTTAATAGATGGGAGCTTTACGAGTAGGGGGACATACCAAACAGTTATTCATGTACAAAAAGCCTCTGCGTTTATTGACCTATTGTAAATAAGAACACCTGCAATTAAATCAAGATCATTTTTCCGTTGAATTACTAACCGTGTATATCCAGTGACGAAGGACTGTGCAAATAATGCAGGAATTGTGCAAAAAAGTAACGCAGAATTTGCAATTCAGTTTCTGAAAAGGGCACCGCTATAAGTAAATGTACCATTTTTTTAAAAAAATTCAAATTTGAAGAAATGAGTTAGTGCATACGGTTGCTGAGACATTTTACTTGCAACCTCATCAAATTATTTCCATGAAAATGTTTATTTTTCAAGATCATTCGTGAAAATGACGACATGTCTAGCATATTGATGACAACTTTTTGTTTCGTTGATATCTTAAATATAATAACGTATATATTACTTTATGATTTTTTATATTCGGTGTTCCTGGGACATTTTTCAATCTACTCGTGTCATATTACACTTAATTAAACAGATAAAAAGTAATTAAGACCATTTTTACGTCATTAATAAAGCATTGAAACAACGGCGGTTATATCATTGAAAAAAGTTATATCTTATTTTACAAGCTTCCTTCTATTATTATACGACTCTTGTGATTTGACAAATGTCTTAGGTATACAGAATATGAAAGAAAAATGTTTTAATTTTGTTAAATGTACATATTTACATGTATTCGATGAAACAGAAAAGTCGCCTTCAAAACGGTTACCAGGTGTTTCTTCTCACGAATGATCTAAAAAAAGTAAACATATTCCTGAAAATAAAAAATATGCTGGTTAGAGTATAATGTCGTAGCAGCCGTATGCGCTGATTATTTGTTTTTTTTAATTTTAATTTAGAACAAAATATTTTGGTTCGTTTACTTACTGTGTTACTAGTATACGTTTTTGCAATTGCGTTGCACAGATTCGGCGTTACTTATTTCAGCTGGAATCTTTTCAATCCCCACCTTTCTTCTGTTGGCTCTGATATTGACACTGTGTCAGATTATTTTGGCAAAGTTGGTTTTGAAGGGAGAAGGAATGAATTTCTGGGCTTTGTCCATTACTCTAGAGCTTTAGGGTCTGATCCAAGCAACCAAACAGTGACTGATTCTACTTCATGTGCTAGTTTAGCAATCAAGAACAAGTCTAGTTATCCTGCTGCTGCAGAGGTTGCACAGAGATTCCTGTGAGAGGGGCTTCGCCAAGCAGAACCTAATAAAAACTTCACTCAGAAACTGTCTGTTCCTCCCCTCCCTTGACAATCTCCTGAAAATGTCTATAGATGACCCTTCTCTGCCCACCTTCCTATACAAGAAAGCCTTCAGACTGTGGTCAGAAGAATTATGAAATAATTCTCCCAGCCCCTTTCCTGATCCCTTGCAAACAAATATGTTACAGAATATAGTCACCTTCCTGATGACAGTTAACATGTATTTTTAAAAATGTGTAAGTCTAAGTAGCATAATATTATATTGTGAAGCTTACATATATCATTTATGAGATATCATGTGCTAATTTTAAAATGTAATGTTATAAAATTTACCTGATAAAAAGTTGAATGATATTCCTTTTTATTTTTATATCACATGCCTTTTAAGATGTTCATTAAATAGCAGAAATAAACCATTATATGTAAAGTAAATATAGGGATAGTAAAGTTCATATAGACTGTTAAAGAAATACAGCAGAGACATAGTAATTTTGATGTCAGCCCGTCACGCTAAAAAGTGGCTCAAAGAAAAAGTCCTGGAAATTCTTATCATTTTATATTGCTTTTATAAACTCGTACTTTTGGTCTGCTTTGGACAATCTTGCAGATTTTCAAGGGGAATAAAGTTGTTCGCGGGATAGATTGTGATTGGTGGCAAGTCTGCATGTCGTGGCCTAATGCTAATTTTACCCTTGATTTCTACTCTAGTGGTAAGTTTAAGCTAGTAATTTTACATTTGATTTCTACTCCAGTGGTAAAATTAGATAAATTTGCGTTTGCTTTCTGGTTAAATAATTGTTCGTCTCATTTTTACTTCACTTGTATTTTTAACATTTACACTTTACCTCGTATGTTTAATTTTTTGACATCTTTCTTTTATTTCGATAAAATGATAATGGTAAATAAAAATGTTATGTAATAATTGTAAAAAAAATGTAATTAATTTTCTTCGCGAGGAAGAACATGACTAATTATTATTTTACAATTTCAGCAACCAAATATCCATCTTGTACTTTTCCTCATTTCTACAATGTTATGTTGACCATTTAAACGGAAAAAAAATCTTCAATATAATTCAATATGTTTCCATTACCATTTCAGTTTACAATTGGACAGCGTCTGATCTATCACCCCAAGTACCTGTCCAAATTGAAATTATGGGTATGAACGCTAGCGGATACTCGTTTTCCAATACTTACGAATATTTCGGTTTCAAAATCAATAAACCAGATAATAAAGTGTTTGAAGTAAGTACAATATTATGGTGTCCCGTGTTTGCAGTAAGATAGATATAACGGTGTCCCGTTAGGGCCATCGCGACACACACACGCTCACGCACACACACACGCGCGCGCGCGTAAACGTACGCATAACTTAAAACTACGAAACGATGAAAAGTCGAAATAACGAGTCCAAGATGGTAGGAACTCGATATAGTTTCGTGTAATTTCACCATCATACTTTAGACCTTTTAGTTTACAGGCAAACACTTTCACTAACCAACTTGCCACTTCATTTTGTTAGATGTCGATTGATGATATTACAACAGATGCTTAATCAATACCATGCTGACTGCTTATGTGTAACGGAATCTTCTTCTTTTGAAATTTGATATATTGTTTTGGAAAGCCAACTCAATTTGTGGCTCAAAAAATCGATCTACCAGCCCACATTATCCCGATAATGGGGGGACGACGGCAAACTATCATCACACTTGACTGTAAACAGGAGCCGGGTTTACAAATGGGTGACGTATAAATTGCCCAAGTACGAAGGGCTGCATATTCTATTCAACAAGTGACATATTACAATTATGTTGGAAATAAGCATTTATTTTCTGCCAAAATCACGAGTTATACACATAACAAATTAAATATCATGAAGATTTTGATTATTAAAAGCCCTTCTTGATTTTAGCCTCCAGTATGTAAAAAGGATACAAAAGGAGTGTCTCATGAATGTGAAAATTGTAAGTATATGTATATGATATTTAAAAAGGCTAAAAAATACCTAGGTTTATTAGATATGAAAACAAAAATATACTTTCCTTATAGCACAGCTCGAGAAAAAAATGTCTTGCACCTAAAATTTAAATACTATTTTAATCCCAGCTTGCTCGAAGATTACGTAACGTATTTTGTGTGTATTTTGGTTTAGTTTTTGGTGAAAATGAAGTGCATACATATATTCATGTGGAATGTTATGTTAAAACGGCCGTGAAAGTAAAATTATTTATGAATAAAGTAATTTTAAAATATTGAAAATATCAAGCAACAATGAGTGGCGTCGCTTACATACGATATTCCTAATCGCATATTCTCGGCCCTTTCCGTGAATCTTCGGATTATGAATAATAGCTTAGGTGTGCGTTTAGACGATATGAGAATATACAAAGATTTCATTTACTCGATTTTCCTTATAATTCGGTAACTTTTATTGCAGCATTAATCACTTTCTCCCTTTTTTTCATCATCATCATGGTCGTCGTTGCCGTCATCTTTGCGACTTTATGCTCGTAGATTGCAGTACTATATCAACAACTTCTCCAACTATTCAAACATTAAGCGCCTCTACCAGCCCGACAGTAAGCGCTTCGACATCAGGTATTCAATCAGTTATGACAACTTTCATAAACTTGTGGGTGATGGGTATAATAACAGTTTGATAACATACATGACATAACGTTGTGTAACGAATTTTATCATAACGTAACGCAACATGACTTAACGAAACACAATGTATCACATACCCTTGCCACTTTTGGAACTCCGTTAAAATTGTATTGCTCGTCATTTGCATTATACAAAAATAATAAAATTGCGCTTAACTATAGGCGCGTCAATGAACAATTTACTTTATTTACCTTATATAAAAGCAAACAAATAAAAGGTTGTAACACTTGTTGTTTTTATGAATCATTACCATAATGTTCAATGATCAATTTTACATCTGAAACAGTGATCATGGTCCAAATTTCATAGCTGTACATCAAAGAAAGTAAGTACCTTCGTCAAATTATCTGGGTCAGATGATATCAAAGTTCAATTTTATATCTTAAACCGTGCACACTGTCCAAATTTCATAGCTGTAGAACAAAGGACAAGAAAGTAGGTATTTTCATAAAATTATCTAGGTCAGCTGATATCAAAGTGCAAAAGTATGTAACTTCGTCAAAATCTAGATTTTACATCTAAAACTGTGCACATGGTCCAAATGTCATAGCTATGGAGAAAATAAGAGAATTTCATTAACTTGATTAAAGGTCAATGTCACAATTGAATTATTCTATATGTTTGTTTGACCACAAGTCTTGTTTTGTCCAAGTACGTATAAATCAAAATCATACATAAACAACAAAATTATGACATTTTAATCAAAATTCAATGATATGACATTGACGGTCAAGGTCATTTGAAGCTCAAGGTCAATTTAATCTTTAAAAAGATCTTGCCCATAAGGTTGTTGTGTCCATATATGAAGATATCCGTTCATTACTTACCAAGTTACAGTCAATTACAGTAATTATGAGGGATAATTCAATAATTTGACCTGCAAGGTCAATGTCACACATGAATCCAGGCCAATTTGAGCTTGATATACATCAAGATCCTTACCTAAAAGATGTTTGTCTAAATATGAAGGTAATCCAATTATCCATTTATGGTTAACAAAACTATAACCAGTTACAGAAAAAAACTTGATAATTTGATTAATTTGACTTTGACGTTAAAGGTCACTCAAAGTCAAGGTCACATCTAAATTAGTCAATATGTTTGTTTCGTAGCAAGGCTTATTTTGTCCAAATTTATATCAAATCCGTACATAAATAACAACATTATGACAATTCAACCGAAATTCAATAATATGACCTCGACGGTCAAGATTATCTTAAGGTCAAGGTCAGTTCAACTTTTTGTAAGTTGTTGTCCAATAGGTTGTCCCAAGGGTTGCTGTGGCCGAGAATGAAGACAATACACCGAGAACTTAAAAAGGAATGATCAAGGTTGATGTTTGCGGACGGCAAGGGAACGCCGCCATGACTGTAACAAAACCTGTATTTTTTCAAAAACGTAGAGCTAAAAATGATTCTTTGTAACTAACGTAACGTAATATTACTAACGTAAAGTAACGTTACATGACTATAGTAAAGGAAAGTAACGTAACATGACTAACATAAAGGATCATAACATCACATGATTTATCATATACTCGTACCGAGATAATATTGTTTTACTCTCCTCAAATTCAGTAAATTCGGTATTGAACCTACACTCATTCAATATCTTCTATTTCATATTTTGATGGTAGCTTACACATTTTAGGAAATAGAACATGGTGTTTTAATTGCGATGGAATGACAAGCTTGCAGTATTGTGACCGTGTATCGAGATGTCAAAGTGAAAACGAAGTATGATACCTTTAATTTCTTTGGACAATTGCTGCTAGTGAAACATAACGAATATATTTTTGCTCTGATAATCTAATGACATATACCAAGTACTAGTATTTATCATAATTTCAATCGCTTGTCTTTTGCTCTTTACATCATATTTAGGACAAAATAACGTGAGGTCCCGAATGTGACAATACGACAGTTTAGCCATCAATGAAACAGAAAACGGACTCATTGTTGTATGGTGGCTGATTTGTGCCATTCGTGTTTTCGTCCCGCGACCCTGCCAAGCGAAAAGTCGAGAATAAACAAATTAAAATGGCGGAGGCGCGGAGCGAAAACACGCAAATCAGCGAGGGCGCGGTACAAAGTTTAATAAATATAACTTCGCCCCGCGGGGGCGCGGAACGAGATTTAAGAAATAAAACGGTGGGGTCGCAGAGCTAATTAGCGTGTTTTTGCTCCGCGCCCCCGCCATTTTATCTTGTTAATTCTCGACTTTTCGCTTGGCAGGGTCTCGGGGCGAAAACAAAAATGGAACAAATCAGCCACCATATTGTTGCAATTAACCTTTGGAGTGTTTTAACTAGAGCGAGAGCTTGAAGCCAATGACAATGCGTATTCGATCTGTTGCAACTTTCCAACTTCGGACAATAGAAATTAATTCAAATAACTTTTTGTCATCCTGTGCATATTAATTACTGAAACAAATTATCATGAATCTTGACTTTCAAGCTGGTCCTTTTGTTATCTCTTGCATAGACTATAAAATGTTTTATGCAAACTGCACAAATTGGGCAAACATGTCTAAAACCACTGTTATTTTTCAAGATGACTAATTTCCTGAATAAACAACAACAACAGCAACATAATATCTTTAATGTTTCAGGTGTGTTACGTACAAAAATACACCAGAAGTCTTGACTTGACACTATTCAGGTCAGGATGCGTTGATGCAAAGGTAAGTTTCACCAGTTTCTAAATATCCAGGGCACTGATAGGGCTTAATAGTACATTTCTAGGAACATCTGGGCATCGGTATATATGTAAACAGATGTTTTTTCCTATTGTCTTAAAAAGGCGATTTTGACAAAAATTATTGCCTCCATTTCACGGGCTAAAAATATGCACAAAATCAAGCCATCTTGACTAGCCAGATTACTTTTTATATGAATTCTCTATGAAAACAAATAAAGTACATGTACTTTATTTGTTTTAAATATCCAAGAAACAATTTACATTATGTATAACTAATGTCATAACATGTAAGACTTAGAGGCAGGCCAGACTGAACTTCCGTGCACTAGGTTACAAAAATAATACAGATTGTTGCTCAGTTTTAGTGTTAAGGTATCAAAGTCCCTTAAACTTTATTTGCCCTGAGCCACATTCAAAGCTTGGCAAATGCATTACACAAATTCTGCTTGTTAGAAATCTAAATGTTCTTATTTTTAGTATTGTAACAGCATTAGTGGACATAATGGATGCCTTCAGTGTTGTAATGGCAGTTTTTGTAACAGCAAAGGATGCGGTGATGAAGGTTCTACAACTTATGATTGAGTAAATTCACGAAATATCCATGCTTAATATCGAAAATCTGATTAAACAAAAATAATCAACACCACAATGATTAATGAAATCCTAATGTTAAACCGGTAGACCAAATAACGTATATAACACATTCAAACACATGTTCTTCATTAGTATTGAACAAAAAGAATAAAACTGAGAATATTGAGCTTTGTCTATTCCAGGTCTCCAGACGCTTGGGAAACGAGGACCACTATGCTTTGACTGTACCCATACTGGTAACAGTGGTAGCTGTAATACCGTGCAGCTGTGTGACACAAATCAGGTTTTCTTTTCTTGAATTAAGTTCTTTATTTCCAGTTATTCTTAGATCTGGAACCATTGTGACTTTGTTTTGCGCAAATTACTCAGTTTGTTTTTAATGTGCATATGTACATTGTACTTATAGTCGGCACTCGCTCCAGTGGACAAGCAGTATCCAATGGTGCTTTGGTATATGTAAAGCACTACAAAAATGTAATTAATATGAGAGGCAACGGTTTAATGTTTTCTTCTAGAAAATTACTTTTTTTGTGTTGTCCAAGTTGTGGGTCGAAAACGCAATCTCTGAATTCGCGTCCCACTGGATCACTGAGACCGCATATTCATTTTGTTGCCTATGTTAGATATAGCTAGGCTATTTTCACCAGGTGGTTTTGTTTCTTCAAAAATTAAATATAAAATGAACAGTCTTTTTTGTCCTATTTTCATCATATTTCATGTCAAAAATAAAACTAAAATGTTCAATTTGGGACTTTAACTTATTTTACACAGTACTTTGAAGACCAAACTCAAAATGGCCAGCGTATCTTTATACCACCCATTTATGATTACCATTGCAAATAAAAATTTTTTAAGAAATTTGGAAATGAAATCTTCATACCACACAAGTCACAGGTTTTCACTACACTTTGTGTTAATAATTATTCAAGACTATATCAAAATAATCTGTTATAAACAAAATGCATGATGTGTGATATATATTATTTCAGGTGTGTACGATAGAAAAGTATAAATGGGGAGAGAACAACGATCATTATATTATGGGATGTACACATTCACAGGTGTGGTTTTTTAAATTTTGATAGACAGTGAAACTTGTTCTTTGCACACTCTCATAATGAATACCATGTACATAAATCCTGTAACAGAAGACCGTAATTTCATTTTCATCTTTTATTAAATATTCTATTTCGCGAAAACATTAAAGTCAACATAATAATAATAATAATAATAATAATAATAATAATAATAATAATAATAATAATAATAATGATAAAATAATAATAATAATATGATGATGATGATGATGACGATAACGATGATGATGATTAAAATAATGACGATGGTGATGTATAATTGAATAAAACAGTGTTGTTGCTGCTGCTGCTGTTGTTGTTGGTGGTGGTGGTGGTAGTGGTCTAGATGATAATAATGTTGAAAAGCAGGTGATTGAAGAATTAGATACTATTCATAATAATATTGAAATGTAGACATCATTTTTAGGTATGCACAAGTAAGCGTTCAATCAAGTCGTTATCCGTTCGTCACGCCCCTGTGTGTTCCCACTGCTGCCGTACAGATTTTTGTAACATGAATTGCACATCTACAAACAATATAGGGTCAGCTCTAATTGGTGAGTATTTTTGTGTGATTGTGATTTTATATTCTGTGACGCTTCAAGTGATGTGCCGTATTTATTTCCTGTATAATGGATTTGTCAAGCTTTGAATTTGAAACGATTTAAATAAACAATGGAAAAAGAAACAAGAGCTATCGGAAGGACAGCGTGCTCGATTATTCCAAATGCTTGATACCTAGCATTTTGTAAATTGAATAGAGCCATAATTCTGTAAAATTACATGTTGAGTTACGGGCCTTGGACAGTGACGTCTTATTATGCTCTTAAATACGTGCGTGAAGTTTCAACCAATTGTCTTCAACTGATTTGGAGATACCAACTTGCGCGCTAAAACTTAACCAAAATACGACGCTGACGTCTGGGTGAGTATAACAGCTCTAGCTAAAATGAGCTGTATCAACTGTATAGAGCCTAGTCAGATTCTTCCTATATGTTAGCTGAACAGTCTCTTTACGTCTGTGACAAAGGCAACTCACCGTCGGTTTCAACAGGCCAAGTGTTAAAACATTAATTTCTCTTGTTAAAGGAAGTCAGAAAAGCAAAAAGAAATCTTAACCCTCTTTACGGAGATATGTGCAAGTCTTCCCCTTTTGAATTAAACCGCTTTAAAATATAGAAAAGATCACTTGGAGTGTCTATTTCAGGTCTGATAAACAAAAAAGGATAATAAGTTGTTTTTTATATATCTTGCCCGATGAAATATCATTAAGATTTTTTTTATATCTTATCCGGTAAATTGAAAGGATCATTTAGATTTTTTGTTTATTGTCACTTTAAATATCTCTAGTTTTGTTTTATTCTTCAGGGTAACCGGACATGTTGCTGTGAAGAGCATCTACCAATGTGATTTATTTAAAATGAGTTCATTTTTCTTATAAAACAATAAATTGACAAAGAAATAGAAATTCTCTGGTAGTTGTCCTCAGAAATTTGAATTTGTAGCAAATGTGTAATCGTTATTATTCGTAGGGCACTTAATTTCTCAAACCACGAATGAAAGATTCAACGAAATTTTATTTCGTCCGCTTTATTTTTCATTACAACATTTACTTGTGTGCTCCCCCCCACCCCCCCACTCCCTCTAAAAGCACTTTTTTCCGGAGCACAGTAGGACTAACCAATTATTTTGTAATGCCATTGCATATAAGCCGGTGCCATAGCTTGGAGTTTCTACGGCAAAATAAGGAGCAGCACACTAGCCTAGAAAACATAACCGCAAAATGTCTGCGTTGCATGTGTTCTTAAGCCTGCGATGCGAAACATCTACATAATTTTTGGAGAAAAAAAGATGACTGCCTTGCAAAATAGCTAGAGCAATAGCTCGGAGACTAATTTTAAGGCCAAAAAAGACGCACGACACAAGCCCAAGAAAAATAGCCAATATGCCCGCGAATGCTTTTGCGTTTCCTTGTGTACTTCTGAATAAACTATATAAAATATCGTAAAAATCACCATTTCCTGCAGCCAACCGTGACTTAATCCGATCTTTTGATTCCTTAGCAAACTAGAACTATCACTAAATGTGATTAATACCCCCACATGACTGCTTCGGAAATGAGGATGTTACTAGTAACAGAATACCTTGTAAAATAATTGAAATATAGAGTTATGGTTGTAGGCAATTAAAGATAGTTGTGGTTCTTGTATGTTGCATTTCTTTTCAATGTGGTTGGCCATTGATGAAATTTAATTGAATAACTCTGTAATAAGTCCAGAAAGTAAAAGAAAAGGAACAAAGGGCAATAACTCTATAAATACTGAAGATAGAGTTATCGTTATTGTGCACTGCACTTCCTCTTATTATGCTTGACCATTGTATGAAGTTGTTTTGAATTCCAACCAGTACGTTTTAAGTTATGCTCCTGACAAGGAAAAGTATCAAAGGGCAGTAACTCTGTATTTTGTCAAAATGGAGTTATGGCTCTTGTGCACTGCACTTCCTTTTAATGTCCTTGACAACTGTATGAAGTTGTACTGAATTCCAAACAGTAGCTTTCAAGTTATGCTCTGGACAAGGAAAAGTAACAAAGGGCAATAACTCTGTAATTAGTCAAGATGTAGTTATGGTTCTTGTGCACTGCACTTCCTCTCAATGTGCTTGACCATTGTATGAAGTTATATTGAATTCCAACCATTAGTCTTCAAGTTATGGTCCGGACAAAAAAAGCAATGGAAAAGTAACAAAGGGCAATAACTCTGTAATTACTTTAGATAGAGTTATGGTTCTTGTGCACTGCACTTCCCCTTATTGTGTTTGACAATTGTATGAAGTTGTTTTGAATTCCAAAAAGTAGTTTTCAAGTTATGCCCGGGACAAGGAAAAGTAGCAAAGGGCAATAACTCTGTAATTAGTCAAGATAGAGTTATGGTTCTTATGCACTGCACTTCCTCTCAATGTGCTTGACCATTGCATGTAGTTATATTGAATTCCAACCATTAGTCTTCAAGTTATGCTCTGGACAAGGAAAATGCAACGGACGTCTGGACCGACCGACCAACCAACCGACCGACCACCGGGCGACTCCTATATACACCCCCAAACTTCGTTTTTGGGGGTATAATAAGCCAATGCAATAGCTTGGAGTCAGTTCTTCAAGGCAGAAACATGGTCGCTAGATACACGCATTTTATCGTGCGTAGGGATTTTGTCTAATGGTATAAATATTCCACTTCGTTTTACAATTCCTGAGAAATGTTTGTTTTGGTGTGATCAAGTTGCAAAATGTCAAGTGCAACAGCTCAGACATTCATATTCGAATCATACAGGAAATTTCCTTAAAAATCTTACCATAATCTACAATGTCAAGAACAGATATCTGGTATAAAGTTTTCTACGAAAGTTGTATAACCCATGTCCCAACACATAGATTCTTAAAGGATATAAAACTTAAAAACCACATTATTACTATTTTCATCATCACTCTACCACTTTGGGCCAGGTACATGACCGAGCTTGGTATTATGACTAGGCTTACATTAACAACAAAACAAATTCCTCCTTTTTCAGATTCTTTATATATTTATAGTACAGGGAATGGTTTTATAATAGTTGATATGTATATATTTTATATAAAAATGTATAAAAATACCTCGCTTCCTTTATATATACATAAGAACTGATTCCATAAATGAATTAATGACATATACATATGAATTGACTAAAAACTATATTATCTGTAAGAATATTAAACTGAAATCTGAATTAAACAGAAAGATCACTGAATAAATTGAATTAACTTGTGTTCCTAAGTAACTAAATTAATATCTATCTGTGTACAATTATTATATATCAGAAAAAAGAAATAATATAACCAAAGAAATTATATAACCAAAATAGATCTGATTGATTTACGGACGCATATATTATGGATAATGTATTGCAAAATACATGCATATGTATAACATGATGTACAAATATTTGAATATGCATGAATACTTAAACAGATATTTTGCATATTCAGGAAAAAAAATATTACGGTTAATTTGCCCAGAAATCAAGTGGCTTCAAAAAATTACATGATAGAAGATATGGGCATAAATAAGCACTTTTATTCATTGACCTAATTAGTTTTTAAAAAAAGCCTTCCACAGATTTTGTGAATGTTATATTTTCTCTCTTGTCATGTATTCAATGAAAATCAAATGCTTTTAATATCAATATTCTCTTATTTTTTACTGTTTTTACACCAGTTAAATTGCCTGATTAACTAATACATGTAGTTTATACATATGAATCTAGTGAAAATGAATGCAAGAAACAAAATTATCATATCATGTTGTGTTAAAATTGCAAATAAAGTTTGAAAATGCTAATGATCTTGTGTATTATACATGTATAAAGTTATATTATAAGCTCTTAACATGATAACATGACAACATAATGTACAAATATCATATCAAAATCAATCCAAGGGCCTGTAATCTTGAAAGTTCCTTTACATATAAATTACTTCCCTTGATAAATACACCCTTACAAGGTTAAAGGGTTTTTAAGTTGAAATACTAAGAATTTTACTGCATATATATCAAAGTGGGATAATTAAAATGCCAAAAAAGTGCCCAACAACAATATTAAGGGAAATAAGACTAAAACAAGTGATCACAACTGAAGAAATATATTTTTTTGGTATAGATAGTTGTAGTAAAAGTGGCACTTTAAGTGATAGCTTGAAAATGCTATGACCTTGCTCTTTGGGGGAAAAGTGTGAAAATTTAGCAATGTATTGGTTTGCATTAAACAGAATTTCAAATAGAAGTGCATGAAAGGCATAATATACATATGCAAAATGTGCATACATAATGTCATCTTGGATACTTCTATAGCATGTCATGAGTATACATTTACAGACCAGATGGTACAATGATGTTCGGCTATAATTCACAGAAATTTATATGCAGGTCATATGGTGAATATCTAAGGTTTTTCACTGATACAGAAACAATCCCAATTTTCAACTGCCTCACATTAATTCAGGCACAAGGCTGCGCACAGAATGAACCATTCCCGTTCTCCTATCGCAATTTTTAGTCACCAAGATTTAAAATATCCGGCACCATATCCTTCGCAAAAAATAGAGGAAAACCTTAAAGTTTTTAAGTCAGCGACTTTAACAATTCTAAATTAGAATCCACATATCTGTGACTTGATTGAATATGATAAATTATAATGTATATGGTACATACATAATAACCACAGTTTTTGCACAAACACCCTCGGCAATTCATGAAAAGTGAAATGTACAAATCACAATAAACATTCTGAATGGGAAGCTCAGCTCAAAAAAAATAAAAACTTGAAATAAGCACTTTCATGTCACAACCATCATGTATAACAATAATTATCAATATAAATGATAAAGATCATTCTTTACTTGCTTTACCATAAAATGCTTGCGGCTAAATGATTTGAAAACAATACAATATAATATATTCCATGATAAAAATTTATATACATTATTGTAAACGGGCAATCATGTAAAGCCAACATATACAACTATGAATATTCCTCGAAGTTTTCAAAATTTACCAAATTTACAAGTTGGTGACACATATTTGATTAAATGTCATGTTCTTGAAGTAGTTTTGAAAAAAAAGTCATTTTTACAAATGCACAATCACACATTTTGTATATCCACATGATGAGCCTTTTCAATTTTTCCCAGCCATACTTTGGTGTTGGGAACTAAAAGTGTAAAATTATCTACTAAACTAAAACTCTAGTAGTAATGAGCAAAATTCATTCAATGCAAAAATCAAGAATACAGTGACTGTTAAATGCTTATATTTCCAAAAATAATTTATAACAGTCTGTTATGAGAGATTGTAAAATTGATTACAAAATTGCTTGAAGTTAAGAAAAAATGTTCGAGAAAAGAAAAATGGTTACCACTCCTAAAAGGCCTATAAATTTTGTTTCAAACACAGATGGTGTAAAATATTCCAGCATTGCTGGTTTCTTTCAAGTGTCTGAATCTTGGATTAACTAGGAAACTTGCATCATGAATATTTTAACATTTCTTAAAACCTACATGTATTACTGATTTTTTTCCTCCCAATTTTTTTTTTTTGAAAATCAGAAATCTGTAAACTTATCTGGACTCACGAGGCATGCCAGCTTAACAATTACCTAATTACTTACATAATGCAGAAAATGGCTTTATTTAGTTTAACTTCACAAATATGATGATAAATTTTTAGTTTCGCATGGCAAAGCATACCATGTAAAATAAAATTGATTTTTAAAAAGGTTTTTACCCATGGTTTAAGTTGCTCAAAAAAAATTTAAGCGAATAATTCACAACCTATGATCAAGCTTGCAACAATGTAACAGAATCACGATTTATTTTGTTATCTTATAACAAAGAAAAGTTAAAAATAAAAGATACTATTCACAACCATAAAAATACATATGAACACTTTCATTCTGTTTGTAAAACAGTCATAAATTTTATGATACAAGATTAAAAAGATTTTGTAATGATTTCTATTTACAAATGGCACAAAAACAAGAAAAAACTGTACAATTCAAAAACCGTTTTTTGCAATTAAAAAGTACAAAAATCTGGTGTTGAAGCATTGTTCTATAAAATTTACAAAAAAAATTCTATTACAGAATGATATTGATATTTTGATCACATATAAACCAAAAATCATGATTTTACATATAACTATTCAGCAAAATATCTTCCAAATTAAACAAAGAAAACATGATTTTTTTTGTAACTTTGGTCATGCACAATTGAATAAACTTAATGTTAACAAAAATTTAACTCAAAAAATTCAATTTTATTACACATAATTTTCATATAAGTTAGTCTGTATTCATTGAAAAGGTATAACAAAATTCAGTTCAAATAGAAACAAAGCTACGACTCTCACTGCCACAAAGAAAACCCTGATTATGGAAGTAAATGAAATCTGGATGCGTTTAAACTAAACAGTATTTTCTTGCCTTGTTAAAACAACCTTGGACTAGCAGTCTCGCACTAGATCCTGCTAGTAGTTAAACTTGAGTCTATAATGTAAAACTTGGGCTATAATTAGCACTAACACGATGATGGTGGATATGATCCCGCCCAATGCCGCTCCTTTTGCGTAGGACCCGTATTTTGATGCCTGTATGTATTCCTTCTTCTTGAAGAAATCTCTAGACATCTCTACAAAAACAAAAATAATATAAATGGTTACAAATTTACCAATCATTAGCCACATATTTGTTTGCATCATTTCAAAATTAAATTACAGTTTTGAATTTTGTTCACAACAATATATATCTTATTCAAATAATGAGAAACTTTTAAACATGATTATCGCTGTTAACTAGTTTGATATCAGTTCACTTTTAGTTACATTGAAATATAAGACTGTAGTCTGAGCTGAGTTGTACTTTGTACTGTAAAACTTCCTTTTTACTATTTTTGTATAGATATTGACAGTTTACTTATGTATCTGTAAACAGAAAACATGTGAATAAAACAATTATGCTTTATTGAATGCATTACTTTTTTTAATGCATTACTTTTTTAACGGTGGTAATTAAATACATTACTTTTTGAAATGATGCAAATTGAAGGCATGACTTTTATAAATGATGCTAATTAAATACATAACTTTTTGAAATAATGCAAATTGAAGGCATTACTTTTATAAATGATGCTAATTAAATGCATTACTTTATAAAGTAATGCAAATGGAAGACATTACTTTTATAAATGGTGCTAATTAAATACATTACTTTTTGAAATAATGCAAATTTAAGGCATTACTTTTTTTTTAAAATGATGCTTATTAAATACATTACTTTTTGAAATATCGCAAATTGAAGGAATTACTTTTTTAAATGAGGCTTATAAAATACATTACTTTTTTTTCAAAATACAGTTAATATGCAAATTTAATGTACAAAATGTCAAATAATATTAATTTTATGCATCACTTTTAAATATAATTAGTTGCACATGTGGTCATTTATTCTATATACAAACTAGCTGAAAGGAAAATGAAATGAGTATGTATATCACTGAAGAAATATAGATCAAATAAATCATTACCAGCAAGAAGAATGGCTGCAATTCCAAAAATAGGATTGCAAAATAAGGAGCAGAATGCAAATCCCCAGTTATCTTGCGCCCGTTGCATCTCATTCGGAGCTTCAGCTGTGACAGGAAGTACGAAGAAGGAGGCTTGAGATGGTGTGTAAGTCGAGAGGTAACTCTTGTAACTAGGGGTGATACTCGCCATACTAGCCTGTGACGAGTAATGGGACGGCCATTGATGCATTTCAAACGCGGACTGGGAGTCCATCTCGCTCCCGTCCAACTGAGATTTACTGTCATAGTACTGCATGGTTGTTTCTTTCTACTGAAATAAACATTAAATAATATCAAATTAAGAAAGGTTTTAACAAACAAATCTGGGAAGTTGTTATGTAAAACATTTGCTATTAATTTACTGACTTATTTTAATAGTATTAATCTTGCTGACTTTCTACTGAAACCTATTAGTACTGACATGCAGTAACTGGTGGCATATGGGAAACATAGTTATGACTCTAGCATTACTAGAAGCCATGTTTTACTAGTTGTAAGGTGTGCATCTGAAACCTTAAAAGCTATATAGTGTGCAGATTTGAATTCATAATATCAACTTATTTCACCAATAAGTTTAATTTCTAACAGGAATGACTAGCTCAGCTTCATATCGAAAGAATGGTGTGAAATGAATGTGACTCCTTCAATATGTTACGATTTCGAATTACAGCTGTTTTGCACCAAACCCTCGTTACATAATCTACAGCTTCACTGCTGCTTGACCATACTTGACTTGCTCATTGAAGCATTTTGCTTTTGATATCTCTAAATTAACATTCTTTAAATCATCTAGTCCCACATGATGTTAGGAAACAGTATCAAGATTGAGGTAGCCCATGATCAACAACACACAGAATTGTATGAATCATACAGGGCAACCAACTAAAATCAATTTGGTTTTGATATTCATGTTGTAATCTGTGACAGAAAGTTTTATGTAATTAATCACATGATAATCAGAGATATACATCATACTGGTTTAAAATGGTTTACGGGAATCCAAGCACCAGTCCCTAGCTCTTAATGATTAGACCCCTTGGTTCTTTTACATGCCCAGTGTATAGCACTTATGCATGCAAGGATTACCTGGATTTCTTACCAGTACACCTCTAGGAAGGTGGGAAACACTGAAAGTGTCACTGAAAAATCCCAAGGGTGTAACTCAGGATCAAACCTAGGACCTCAGGAGTGATAATTAATCAGTGGTGTAACCAACTCAGCTATCACGTATATATGTATTATGGCCAGCATATTGATCAATCAAAACTTGAAATATGACGAGAGCTATTATAACAACAATGTAGATCCCTAAGATCTATATTGATCCATGAAAGTTATGATCTCTTTGTGGCAGCATTGTCCTACTAAAGGCTATCATACCTGGCTTATATTATGAAATATGGCGGAAGTGAATCACCTAAAACTTCCAGGTAAAATCAAGGTGTATTACCTGTTTGAACACCTGTATTCAATACTAGAATAGTTAACTTTACATCAATTTGTATTCTTAATATTAAAACGCCAACGTTTAACTCATATATATATATATATATACACATGAAATAACTTTGAAATACTTTCCCAGATCCAGGGCGTACCGAAACGTGAAATTTTTTCTTGACCACTGGCGTGACTGCAAAATTAAGTATGTTGAATAAATATTTGTCTATTTATAAATTATAGCGACTTAATTCTGGGATAGTAAAGAATAATAATGAAGGCGAAACAAATACAATGGCAATCAGATCCACATGCAAGAAATATTTCAAGTATATAATATCTGAACTTTAGTAATACTTGACAGTTATCATAACTGTTGGAGAACTTATCTAATAAACAGATAAAGAAAAATGGGATAGTTAAATGTGCAAAACGAAGCAACTAAATATTATACTTTGTCTAACCAGACTGATGTTAATATTGACTATGCTATGTCCCACAGATTTATATTCATCCATGATAGTTATGACCGCCTTGTGGCAGCATTGTCCTACGAAAGGCTATCATACCTGGCTTATATTATGAAATATGGCGGAAGTGAATCACCTAAAAATTCCAGGTAAAATCAAGGTGTATTACCTGTTTGAACACCTGTATTCAATATTAGAATAGTAAACTTTACGTCAATTTGTATTCTCAATCTTAAAACGCCAACGTTTAAATCTGATATATTTCTTGTCTTTACATAGCGTTGATTTTAAGTTGGAAGTTTCAAATTTGTAAACATGTTCGCCATTAATTGAATTGTCAATACGCATGCGCACAGGTGAAAAATGTTTTCATCGCTTAGTCAGAATTTCCGGTGTAGTATACGAATTACCTCCCTTAGACCACATTATTAATATAGGGCGTGCGCCTCCCAAAATTGTTCATAGTGTTAGTTTTCATATTCTTAAAAAATGATGAAAATAATACTAATAAAAAATAATGAAAAGCGTGTTTAACTCAGATCCCGTTTAATTATTAATTAAGTATCTGATCGAACTATAGGCTATAACAAATAATATTTTTGGATAGTGCAACCATATTGACGAGGGCACGAATAAATTAGCGATATTCTGGTTTTCTTAAAAGTCAATTTACGATTTTTTTTGTTTGCTTTTGCAACTGGTACGTTAAGTAAATCATGATTTGCTAAAAATAGTTTTCATGATTAAACCTGTATGCAAATTTTTGTGACAACCCTCGATCTCATTGGAATCACACATTGGATAAGATGTGCAAGCTAGTATCTCCATAACTAGTGAATAGAATTGATTGGAAATTCACACATTTGTTCTCTATGATTATCTTACATGATTGGCACAAGTCCCATAACTCTGAATTTCCTTTTTTTCATAACTTTATGCTCCTTTTCTAACTGTCAAGCACATGGAGAAGTAGAGCGCGATGTCTTTATGGACATCTCTTGTTATATATCAATTTAGCTAGCTTACGGAAGGTTCGTGTTTTACATTGTCCACTCGCGCCTGAAAAAAAATGCATAGAGGGGCATACTGAGGCAAAAGTAGAGCCATAACCGTTTACAATACATGTAGTTGTAATGTTGCAAATTGAAAACCAAATCTCAAAACCATTACTAGTAAAACTACAGAGCAATTTTGATTGAGTTTCCAATGCACTTTACATTTTATAATTAATTTTGAGAATTGACATTTCCTCGCCCTCAAAAGAACGTGATTTTCAATCATTTTTCCCATCAGATGTACAGTCGATTACAGTAACGTTACATTGTAAACTTTACAAATATTATTGTCATAATTCGATTTGTTTGTTTGTTTGATTGGGTTTTACGTCACACCGACACAGTATAGGTCATATGGCGACGTTCCAGCTTTACTGGTGGAGGAAGACCTCAAGTGCCCTTCCGTCAATTATATCAGGCACGAGCGGGCACCTGAGTAGAACCACCGACGTTTCGTAAGCTTGCTGGATAGCTTCCTCACATGAAAGAATCCAAAGTCCCTGTCGGGATTCGAACCCACAGTGGTGAGGGGCAAGTGGTTTGTCATAATTCGATAGTTGACATATTGTTGTACATGTATATAATAGCGTTATGTTCATCTGCAGGAAAATATCGTAAATTTAGGTTATGATTGAAAACGTTGTTTGTAATACATGTATATCATCAACAAACACGCCATTTTGTAAAATTAACAATAAAAAATGTATAGTTTAATGTATTGTCAGTTACATTATGTAAAACAAAGTTTAAAATGGTCAGTCAGCAGGTAAAAATAGGAATAACTTGACATTTTGCCATAATCTTGTGTTCAATTTTGTATTTTATAATGAAAAAATCAATAAATTAAGCCAAATGAGCAGCGATTTTTTTCTATAAATATAAATCAAAATGTATTGGTAACGCTCAATTCTTAAAGTGTATAAAGCTATATATCTGATGTAAAAATTATTGTTTGAATTTTAAAAAAGGATACTTCCAAAATGCCTGTATGAAATAAATGTGGTAATTTATTGCCTTAACTAAAAGCAAATGATACAAGTACAAAATTATTTCTAAACGTATAAAACCCTACTTAAAATAGCAAAGTTATTTTGTTCCGGAATTTACGTACATTATCCATGTGTATTAAATAACAGACACATTCTATGTTAAAACTTTTTCAGGAATCAACCATAAATATAATGGGACCAATATCAGTTTACTGTTGATAAATTTTATTAAAATATTTCATAAGATATAAATTTATACTTTTTAAAAAGAGTGGGGCAGTCTTTTTTTTTTATTTAGGCAGTTTTTATAATTATCATACACATTTTTTCATTCATTCGCCATTATAACAGCCAATATTTTGGAAAAATAGTACCGATTCAAGTCAATATGACAGAAAAAAATGAGCATATTGCCACGTTAAGATGAAAGAAAACAAACTAACTCAATAAATCACAGCATTCACTTGTTTACATGTTTTAAACAGAAATGCCGTAACTGTTCTCTGTGTGTTTACTCATATAAGAAATAAAACTGATATTTGCATGATTTGATATTATTGATACAATTTTAAAAATGTACCTACCTACCTATCCTCTTCATGCCAACTGGCACATAAGGCTGAATCACTATCCTGATAGTGGGTTTGTGTCTGGTTTGCAGTTTCCGTAACTAAAGTTGTTTTTACAGGGTGGAGCAGTTAACACCACGCCTAACCTCCACACTGTTGGGCCGGATTTTCTTTCAGGGTTGTCCTTCCCGTAGATGACTGTAGTTCCCACTACGATGAGGTCCATCTCCCCAGATTTTCTGTTTGGATTTTCTTCCATAGCCTTTGACTTTCCCAAGTCACCCACAAGGCAGTGGGCTATTTGACCCATAGTTGGGGTAAGGATGATGAGTGCTAGGGCATATCCACACGCCGGTGGGCCTACACACTGCATCTCTGTGGCCCTTTCTGCTCCGAGATCTCCTTCAATTTAGCCTGAGACACTAGGCCTCAGTTACCGTGCATTTCCACTAGGAGGTATTGAAGGAGTCTTGGTAGTGTAGAGGCTATGTACTGGCAGGAAAAGATTTACGCACTCGACTCTCCCTTTCACCTACAAGTAGGTTAGCCAGCGACAACAAAGATCTAGAGACGTTCGATCCAAGCCGTACTAGACGCATATCACTACCCTGTGGTGTTACCACCACCAATGCACAAAAAAATGTAACATTACGTAAATAAATCGCATTTTGAAATTCAATACCCTCGATCTTATATATACATATACTTCAGTAGTGAAAAAAGACCGTTTAAACATTTTGAAGTTTTGAGATAACATGCTTAAATTTTATTTAAGTAAATAACCCAAACAAATGCATTTTACATACAACAATTGATTTGTAATACTTAGGTATGCACAGTTGGAAGAAAAGCCAATAAATTTCCTTGATCTATGTACGGAAGCACAGAGGAGACATAGTGGTTTTCGTGGCCACCACGAAATTAAACAAAAATCACGATAATTTATTCGTACCCAAGAGATAATTCACAAATACAAATCGTGAGATTATCTCGTCACTACGAGTTAGTTAACTAAACACCATCATACAAATCAAGTCTGCCATATTCTCTCGTAGCCACGAGTAAGGATTTTTTGTTTGTTTTTATTTCTATTTTTCTTATTTACATGCGTAAATCTTAACATTTCTTAGTTAATTTAGTCATTTCGTATATAACTCAATTAAATGTGGATTAACATTAAACTAAGAAAGCGCCTGCTGATTGATTTATATACTCAATTTAATGTAGATTAACATGAAACTGATGCTTCATTTATACACGAAATAAAGAGGTAAATTTACATTACTCTAAGAACGCATGCACTGAACAAAGTCTGTTATGAATACGTGACTGATGGCCATTATGTACCTCATTTTAAACGCCAGCGTTGATTGATTGATTGATAAAATCTATTGTGTCAAAATGTCTGTGACGTAATACCACATTGATCATGATAAAGAATAGATATTTGTAAAATTCCCTGTACCTTACATTTTATTGTTTATATATATATGATATAACCTTATTTGTGAAGAATTACCAATATCATAAGTTTAAACAAATACATGTAACAGTCTAATTTGTTGATAAAGGAAGGAAATTAGAAATGTATTTTCTGAAAAAGTCTTCGCCATATCTTTACTTATAAATTATACATGTATGTATTTTTTAAACTTATTTATAATTTATGTAATAAATTGTTGTGTATATGTTACAAATTCTTGGATATTTAAAAATTGCGTTGGAAGGAAAGTGATGTACGTGTATATAATTTCTGTTAACTTTAAATTCGGTGGTGACTAAGGACCACGGCATTTATGATTAAGCCACATTGAATTTACCTGAGCCCATTTCAGCCACCACATCATTCCTTGGCAGGTTGTCAAGCAGTTTCCTTACTTTCACTTTCGCAAGGAACTTAAAAATTCTGTACATGCTAGAGCAGAGGAACAGTTTGAATGACAGAATAAAGGATTTCATGATCATTAACAACGAAAGTGACCTGCACGGTCCGGGAACCGAACCCGGGTCACCCGATTCACAGCCCAACATATTATACTTATTGAGCTATTCGGGCGGCATTTAACTGTAAGTTACATCCTTATTTACACTACATAGGATCTTTAAGTGTATTAAACCTGAAGTAAAGCATAAACATCTATAATTTCTTTGTCAAGTTCACGATGGTACTTATTTTAGGACATGGACATGTTTGTCTGTTTGTTTTTTTGTTTGACTGGGTTTTACGTCACACCGACACAGTATAGGTCATAATTATGGCGATGTTCCAGCTTGAATGGTAGAGGAAGACATCAAGTGCCCTTCCGTGCATTATTTGAGTAGAACCACCGACGTTCCGTAAGCTAGATGGTTAGCTTCCTCACGTGAAAGAATCCAAAGTCCCTGTCGGGATTCGAACCCACAGCGGTGAGGGGTAAGTGGTTTGAAGTCAACGACCTTAACCACTCGCCTGATTAAACACAATATCAAATATTTGTGTATAAAGATACATTTTCTGAACTATTTTTTTAAAGCTGTAACACAATTAAGCAATAAGAAACCCTACCGGATGTTAATTGTAAGTCACGGCGCGATTCAAAATGTATAGAAGAGTGTTTTATCAAACTACTGTGTTGAATACCTTGCCAAACTCACATCTCCACCTTGCGTTCATTTTATGACAACTTTATAGTACATTGAGTCAATTAGGAATAACACATCGAAACTAAATAATGATAATAAAAAATACTGTTTGAAGTGCCGGATGTCAAGTCAGTTCATATTCAAGCTCATTAAAAACAGGAAAACAAATCACAGCTCGACATTAAAAGGGACAAAACAAAAAAACCAACAACAACAAAACAAAACAACATTAGCAACAAACAAGGAAAAAATCGAATGTAACGCTGAATGTTGTGCTGAATGGTGAGCCGGCTTCACGTCCCAGCTCGGTGGAAAAAAAAGAAAAGAAACAAACAAAAACCCGAATGTCAATCTAAATGTTGTGCTGAATGTCGAGCCAGGATTACTCCACATTTTAAGAGATTAATGTATTTATGTTGATAATATGTATAATTATCATATTCACATTGTAAAAGCTTGCCCATTTTCTCCTTGTGACTGAGGGGTTGCTCTTACTGGTTAATCAAGGCATCAGAATTGCAGCCACCGTTTAACCCTGCTTGATCGTAAGAGGCGAAGAAATGGGTTCAAATTATTGGAGTATATGCATCTCTTAGCTCCAGTAGGTGTTTGTAACACCCAAGGTTAGCCAAATCGTCTTTCCTGTTTCGGCGCCATGTGACATTAACTGTGTTGGTGCGACGTAAAACCAAACAAAACAAAAGCTCGCTCATTCTCGTTATTTCATTCACTCTTTCAAGAATTGCAAACTTCGATTTTTTTTCATTTTAACTATCATGCACTTTTAATTTTGATATTTCCAAGTTCATGATTTCATGTTTTTTATTCTTTTATACAAATGTATTAAGACAATTCTTTTATAGTACCAGAAGATAAATTCTGTATCCGCTTGCAATGGAATTCTTCAGAAAACTTATTGGCAAGAAATTACAACGAAGGGTTATTTGTCTTCAGCGATTGGCCAATGCAATAAAAAGGTATGTATTATATACAATATTTATTGGCCCATTAAAATTGGTTGAGGTAATAAAAGGAATTGTTATTGGTTTTTAATATGTATTTAATAAAGTTACTACATTGCTCATTTAAATTTAGCATTTTAAAATTGGCCCTAAATTGAGACCATGAAACGATCCCGATCCTTAATGTATTTTAAGGAAATTTGGCACAACTATCACGCGTGTGTGTACTATAGTATTTGAATTTATTTAAACTTAACATGGACGAGTCCTCCAAATTACTAATTTAAGTCATTTTAGAATTTAAGGATAGTGCAAGATACAGATACAGAAAGATGCATCTCATATCATAAAGTCTCATCCGAAAGACTGTTTTGTTTAGTTAGTTCGCCAGAATCGAACCCACAATGTCTAGATTTCTAGTCACAAGCTTTCATCGATTGAGCTACGCGGGCTGGTAGTGACCGCATGAGCTTTTAAAATCGTTGGCTGTCGATCGCCACAGTTCATTCAAATGAAATCTAAATGAAATCTAATTAAAATCAACAACAACAACAAAACAACTCCTCTGGAACTGCAAATGGTAAAGCTTCGGACCAAGAGAAAGACTCCATAAGTGACATTCGTTTTAAGCATTGGGACAGAATTGTCTTAATTTTGTTCGTAAGATATTCACTTTGATTTTTGATAATGTAATGTATTAAAATCATTATTTTATGGACGAGGAGTTATGCTCAAGTCCGAAAAAATAAAGAAATAAATATTTTGTTCTGTTCTTAATTTTCGGCTTCTGTCTTGCTTCGTCGACTATTGGGAGGTGATTTTCATGTTTCTCTGCCTTTCTTTAAGGCATTTGGTACTTTTAGTATGACCATTAGATTTTCTTTTTATAAGTATTTATATGATCATTTATGTCCTTTATTTATTTGCAACTACTGAAAAAAATACAATCCTTAGAATTTCGCATGGCGAGGATTTATTTTATTTACTCTGTCACGTGTTACAGGAACATGATCGATGCACTATTTTAAGCGGTTTTAACTCCCGAGCTGATTGTCCCAATGCGGTGTTATTCTGTGTTTCTGTAGATGTTTCAAAGTTTCAAAGTTTTATTCAACATTCCATTAGGCTAAAAAGCTCATGAGGATAAACATAGCACAAATATCTACATACAACGAACAGTGCATGAACTTAACAAAAAGCAATGTGACACCCATACATTCCCAAAAAGAATCTATATGGGAGGAGGTAACATATATTAACTTGTATTTAATTCAATATAAAAGAAATGTAATTATATACATATAATGACTGCACGTATAAATCATTTTACATCTTAACATATTGCTCTGTAATATATATACATCATTATTTTTTCTATCCTACCTTACACGAAAATGAAATGCAAGGTAATGATATATATCCTTTCATAATACAGGTTAAAAAATAATTTTACCAATAAACATCTTCTAACCTTTAGAAAAATGCGAAAACAAAGGTTATAAGACAAAGGTAAATAATCTTACATGAATAATTTTTACAAACATTAATTATATTCTACCATGTGTATATTAAATTCATTTTCTTTATTAGTTACTGAAAAAATATTCATTTCTGAGTATGAAAGCCTTGTGAATAAATAACCCTAATTTTTGTACAACTTTTTTGTCTTCAGATTTTAACAATTCAATAAACTTTATCATATTTGGGCGTTTCCAGAACTTTTTATTAATATATTGTTTTCTTAGATTGATAAATAAGGGACATTCCATGATAAAATGATACTCATCTTCCAGGGAATTACAAACACTACATTTTCTTTCATTAACTGGGTTCTGATTTTCCTGCTTCTATGTTTAATCTATGAGATGATACTCTTAATCTGGTCATTGATTGACAAAATTTGTTAACATTGAAATATTCTAGATAGGGCTGAAATTGAAAAACAAGCTATGTTTCTCTATAATAAAGCTCTGCTCGATTCATTAATTCTACAATAACAATTTTTCAAAATTGATCATTTATTCTTTTTTTTACAAAATATAAAAAAAAACAAGTTTGCCAACACTTTGCTGTAGCCAAGCATCAAAGAACCCAAAAGTACATAGTAATTCTTTTATTGATGAACACCAGTTTACTCTATTTGGAAAATTCTCATAATCATTCTTTAACATATGATAACTCTATGAACATATTTGTTTTCATGTGAATGAATAATTTTTATCCAAAATTTGATAATATTTAAAAAATGTGTACATTTTAAGCTTGTTCTACCTAATTCCCCGTATACAAAATCATTACCTAATTCCCCGTATACAAAATCATTTTGTGTTGTTTTCTTTACCGCTAAGATTCTTTTACAAAACTGAAGGTGAATTCTTTCAATTGCCACATTATTAGTAAAACCACAAACTTCGCTGCAGTAATTTAAAATAGGGGTAACAAGTTTGTCAAATAAATCCAATTTATGTTTAGGAGATATAAAAGTGAATTTATACAAATATCTATTTAATCTAAATATCGCTTTTTGTGCTTGACCTGCTAATGTATCTTGTGCTGTTGAAAGTGATCCACCAAATGTAAACACTATACCTAAATACGAAAATTTATTTACAATTTCTACTTGCTCATCAGAACTCTAAATTTCTTGGTAAATTACCGCCCTTTTTGAAAATCATTACTTTAGTTTTTGAAACATTAACTTTCATCTTCCAAGTTTTACAATAATCATTTAGTAGATTCATACACTTTTGTAATTCTTCAGCTGAATTTGCAAATATAACAATGTCATCAGCATATAACAATAAAAATATCTTAAACATATTAACATCAATACCATTTTCTCCATTTTGCAGAAAATGTCTTCTATATCATTCATAAATAATGAAAATAAAAAAGGAGATAAACATTATCCCTGTCTAACGCCTAATGTACATGTGAATTCATCACTTAACTCATTTAAATATTTAGCTCTTGACTTAACAGACTTATACATAGACATAATAATATCTAAAATTCTACCCCTGATTCCTAATTTAATCATTTTATACCATAAGTTATCTCTTGTAACATAATCAAAAGCTTTGCTAAAATCTACAAACAATGTATACAGTTTTTTACCTTGATTTAATACATGATTTATTAACCCACTCAAAACAAAAAGATTATCAGTAGTACTCATATTAGAACGAAATCCAGCTTGGGCTTCGACATACACATTATATTTTTCCGCCCAACATTTTAGTCTGTTATTTAAAATACGAGTAAAGAGTTTACCCAAACAACTAAGTAATGTAACACCTCTATAATTATCTACATTATTAATACTGCCCTTTTTATGCAAATGAATAACATAACCTTGAGACCATTTTTCTGGAAAATATCCTAATTCAAAAATTTTATTGAATAAAATAGATAACACAGGAGCAAGTATTTCATTTCTTTACCAGCAATAAAAAAAATCGTTTAAAATAAGATCCGGACCACCCGATCTATTATTTTTAAGTTGTTTTATTCCTAAATAAATTTCATCTATTGAAATGATGGCATTTAATTCTTCGAACATAATTTTAAACTCATTATCACAATATCTTTCATTAAAATATAAAATATCTTCGTCAGGATTAAAAAATACATCATTTGGATTATTAACAGCTTTAAAATAATTCTCAAAAGACGATAATTGTATATTTGATCTTTTTATACCTGCAGACTCTTTCAACATAGACCAATAACAGACGTGCATTTTTAAATCTGTTATCTAAAAGCTTACATGTTTTCTCCTTATCATAATTGTATCTGTTCTTTCTCAAACATGATTTATATTCTTTTCTAGCAGTTACCATATTTTCTCTATTCTCATCCGAATGAAATAATATATATTCATTAAGAGAATGTAAAAATTTATTTCTCTTTTCATAACACTCTTCATTAAACCATGGACTATCATTCTCACAATTATAAACAATCTCGTCTGATTGTGGTTTTAATTTCTTTTTTAGAATAGGTGATGCTACTTTATCTAATATATTTTCAAAATTAGTAAGACAATTATCAATACTATCATACGTACAACAATTTAAAATTTCATTTGACAACAAATCAATACTTTGTGATACTTCATTCACCGTAGGGAACGTGTTACAGTATCGCGTTTTTCGGTTACAGTATATAATTTTCAAGATGGAGGATTATTGGTTGGGAGGACAGGTAGGTGATTTTTATTCCGGTCCATACTACAAGTAGTTTAGTTTCTAAAAGATGTTTTTGTGCTTTGCTTGTAAGGAACAGCATCCGGTATCTAGTCATATATTTCTTCAGACTCTGCACCGCACATTTATCGCTATATTGTCTCATAAATATGCAGATTTGACAGTTTGAAAATTTGAATCGAGAGACCAACGCATTTTTCTCCAATTACGACATTATTTATGCATGCCTAGAAAAAGTAAATCTGCAAAACGTTAGTCCTTTATGTTAGGAAACGTTTATAAAAGTAAATGACAAGTTGAACCTATTTTCCTGTTCGTTAAATGCGTTTGAAAAAATAAACCATGTTACAGTATAGACCGAGGTGATTTGTGCAGGGTTACAGCATAGACCTAGCGATTTTATCCGATTTTGTTACAGTTTATACTCAGATTTCGGTTACAGTTTAGACTTCGATATTTTCTATATATACTAGGTAAAATGTATGAATGTTACATAGACTTTTAAATCTCTGTGAGCTTATTGGTCCTATGGCTATTCGTCTGTATGTCGTACACATGTGTGTTCAATCTCATCGGCTCTGTAACTACTTGACTAAATGTGATGAAATTTACATGACTTTCTACCAATTAGTTGTTCAAATGGTTTCGGTTGCAATCGGGGATACGAAAACCCAAAACATAGATTTTGAAAAAAGGCAATGTTTAAAGACCCTTCTCGTCTCGAACCAAAAGCATTCAAATCAAATCATGATCATGGCGTCATTTGGAATCATTTTTATGTTTTTTTGTTGAAGTTACGATTGTTTT